CCAAACTTTTGACAAGGTATATGCAGTTGAAGCAGGAAGCTGCATTATATATAACAAAGTTAACATCAGAATCCTGGGTCACTTTCTGGGAGTGGGGTAAGTATTAAAGGCAAGTGGGGGTGGAAGGGGATTGAAATATACAGTAGACAGTGAGGGATTTGAAATTGGTGATGAAATGAATGTCTTGCAATACTAATGTAAGATAATTTCTTATCTGTTGATAATAATACCAGACAAACCAAATGAGTGTAAAGTGTTAAATCCAAATACATCCATGTTATGACAGATGCACAATTCTCAAAACACTGGCATTGTTGTTCAATAGATCATAAACTAGTTTTTTGTGTGGGTGGGTGTGAATTTAAGTGATATGGCACATACTGATAGGTGATGAAGTCATGTGCTGAGAATTTAACTAGATTAGAATGTATGACACATTACATATCCACTTCAGGTTTAATAATCCTCTGTCATAATTTGTATTGCATGGTTGACTATGGAGTTTACTCACCACTAGATCTCAAAAGCATGGCTCAGGATATGTAGCCTTGAACAAAAATCACTTTGCATAAACCAATGTTTCTTATATACCATATGATAATTCAGAGCTCTAGAATTGATTTATTGTCCTAAATGCAAGCCATCCACAAATAAAATGTCTTCTACAAAGACCATTTTTCTTTGAGCAACAATGACCTTGACCTTATATACCACAATCAAAAGACCTTTTTTTTATGCTAATAGGGAAAACCCTCCACAAAATATACAATCTAGAACTAACACTATTATTCAATATTCGTTTTCTTTTTTTAGTAACAGAGCTTGACCTATGATCTTTTAACCCCCAAATCAGTAGTAGTCCCCAGCTAACATGTGTATGGGTGTTATTATATGAGCATGGATATGGTCACATGTGTATGGATATTATCATATGTGTAGAGATAAACTATTTAAATTCTGCACAAATGTAAATGATCTGCTTGACAATTATTTCACTACCAGAGATTTCACTAGGATTTTAAAACTAGGAGTTCAGGACTCCTAATTTTGTAAAAATAGGAGTTCCACCAGCAGGAGTTGCAGTCCCACCAGCAAAAGTTGCAGTCCCCAATAGACCAGGCATCACATACTTTCTTAAACTTGGCTACTGTTGCATCCGAACTATCAGTTCTGGCAATTTTAGCACATTTCTGTATTTCATTGAAATCTTAATCATTTTTCTATTTAACCCCAAAATACATGTCTAAAATTGCCAACGGCATTTTGTCCAAGTCTTTTGATTTTGAGTTTGCAGGCAATATTTATATGGCAACAACCAGAAATGAAATCAATAACAGTGAAGACGCTGGGCTCTGCCATGTCGTACATTGTGATTTTGGTTTATATATTGGCAACAAAATATACAATCTAGTGATATTTTATGGCAACATTTTTGGTTAATAAAAATGGTAAATACAGTCTTGAGTTTGGAGTGGAGAAATTCAAAGGCACCATGACAGGAAGCTGTAAATTTGGTTATAAAAATGCACTGGAATTAATTGTTACATAAACAAATCCTTATTTCACATTGACAAACCATGCTAACTGTGCATTGTTATATGCTAATCTGCTTAAGCTGATACCTGGCTTTGATACTGTATGCTGTAATTAAAATAGCCATGCAAGTGACTAGATACAATCAACCACCTTTGAGAGTGGAAACGTACCCTGACTACAGTCAACCTCATAACGTCAATTTAAAAAAATTGACAGAAAAATAGTTTTGCTGCAACTTCAATGAAAACTAACTACCTCTGAAGCACCAACATATACTAAGGAAATTTATAAAAAAAATTGTCTCAATGTTCAACATTTATTTGGTGTCACTGCAGCAATAATAAACAAGTATTTGTTTGGTCCTTCAAAGTGAGCCTTTGGCAACGCCTTCAATAACACATACACCTTCATCAAAGCAAGTCGGCGACCTTTAATCTAAGAAGTCATCAACAAACTAAAATAAAAACATTGCTTAAGTTTTCATAGTGATTAGAACGTATTTATTTTGCTGCAAAACCTTCATCCTTGCAACAAAAGCTTGCATTTGGAGGACTCCCAAGTGGGTGATTTTCTGTGTCCCAAATCAAATATTTGTGTCCAAATACGCGTAATTCAGCGTTTTCAAGATCTCTGACTACTGAACTGCTTATGCAACATAAACAGTCTTACACTATTTCATTTCATTATATATGACAACCCCAATCTTTGGGTTTTGTTTCCGTAAATGTATATTTGAACTATTCATTCATTCTACCTGGAAAATAATTAGAAATATCATATTTTCAACAATGTAAACATCACATTTAAATCCCAGACAAAATTTAACAAGATTTCACATGGTCCGAATCAGCCCTTAATCTGGGTTGCATCAGCCCATAATTTGGACCAAATAAGCCTGGTCCAAATGAGCCTGCTGCTGAACGGAGGTCATCAAAATGCCATGGTAATAGGACATTATAGTGTAACAATAGAGATCATCAAAATGATAAAGTACCATGGTAATAAGACATTATAGTGTAACAATAGAGGTCATCAAAATGATTAAAAGCAATGGTAATAGGATATCATAGTGTAACAACTATGCATTACCTTCAGTGCTACAAAAATCTGATAGTTTGATGCACGGGGCTTTTGTAATTTCAGACTGGGCCTGTTTGTATTCTAAAAAAGGTGCCCAATGGGTTGTAGATAAAAAAAGCATTCTGCCAGAGAAATCTTTGTGCTTGTGATGAAATGAGAAAATGTATTTTCAAGATGTTGATGAACTACCATATTTATGGCACAATCTGATTAAAATCAGATCACTACTTACTTTGTGAAGTGGTAACCTGATTTTTATCAAGTTGCAACATGGCGTGTCAGGCTAAAAACATGGTTTTCTGTAGTCTTAAACCCTGACACGGTAGTGTTTCAAGAAAATGCAATTTTCAGTAATCTATGAAAACAGGAAAACACACCACTTTCAGTTTATGCCCGTTATATGTAGCATATATAAACAGCAAGCAGTTATGATTAGGGCTGATGTAAAACTTTCTGTTTGGGCAGTTTAAATAAATAACATATATTAAAAGTTACAACAGCTAGTGTGATGTATCTGAAGACTATAGTTGGCGAGCCCACTTTGCTAATTGGCAGATATGATTTGGATGTGCAACAACCCAAAATAGGTAAATTAAAGAGATGTTAGTTGCATGTAGAGAACAAAAGCTATTACATATCATTGCTGTGAATCAAAATGTTTATGCCATAGATATCATAAATTTTTGACAAGTTTGTGAACAGTGGCAACATTTCTTTGAAGTCGGATTTTACTGCATATGTAAAATACAAAGGATGATCATTTAAATTGTCAGAACAGTGTTTAAGTGTGACTCATATCTGAAGCTGATTTAGGAAGCAATTAACTATTGGCAAAGCCCAACAAAAATAAGTTTCAGAACTCCTGGTCGATGGAGTTTTAATTTGTGAAGCATGCCAGCTAATACTGTTAAAATCGGATGGGGACAATTCTTTGCACACACTGCAAACATATCAATTTATATCAACTTTATTTTGACCAAGATTCACTCAGAGAATCCAGCAGAGAAGTTTGAACACCAGGACCATCCATCTCGAGCGAGTGTAGTTATGAAAATTAATGACATTTGCATTACCTTTAAACCTCTATAGAATTTATATTTGAATTGTAGCAATTGCAACGTTGTGTGACAAATAGTAGTAAAAACAGAAATATTGGTCATATGAAAATTGGAGTCCGGGCTTTTGGAATTTCAGTCAGGACTTGTGATTTTTGTTAAGTCACCAGCCTGGGGTATGTGTCACGACACTATAAAACAACATAATTTGAGCACTGAAATTGTTCCATAGGTTACAGTTATTCTTTTTTAAAGCCATATATATAGTATTGGCTACAGATACATTTGAAACATTCAAGTGTATCAACGACAAGATAATGAACTATGCTTTACTAAAAAAAAAAAAAAATCCAGCATTTTAGTTTTGTAGGCTAACACGAAAATACGTGACCGTGAGGCGAAAGTTGGCATATAAAAAAATCCATCTCATATATGTGGACAGATTCATAAACCTTTGTCTTGTGGATCGTTAAGATAGTTCTTAAATTTTGTAACAAGATCATGGTTTGTCACTTTGCCACCACTATTTACGATAAACTCTTTCACGGCCTCCATAGTAAACTCTCTGGTAGCCATGGCCGGAAGTTTGTTCATCCTTAGCCTTTTGCAAAAAGAAAAAAAAAAAAAAAGTGACAATGGACAGCTTTCAAGAACGAATGATCCTACTTTTGCTATTTATATGGGTAAAAGAATTTATTCATGGATGTATATTCGACAGGATAAATACGACTTTGCGATTAAGTGAAAGTTCTCTGTCGTTATTAATGTGAACGAAATTAAATTTATCTCTTTATTGTGACTTTAAACGGCACAGGTAAGCAACGCACCAAAAATGATTAATGATTATGTTTTTATTATTATTTCTTACACAGTAAATTGCCAAGGTCGAAAGCCGTGTGTTCACCGTTTACATTTTATGAATTAATATAAATGTGAGATGCCATAGTAGTGGAGAGAGAGAGAGAGAGAGAGAGAGAGAGAGAGAGAGAGAGAGAGAGAGATTACATGAATATATTGCAGATAGTGTTTTACCTTTTTATGATTTTGTCACCCAAGCGTGCAAACAAACCTTCAAGCATGCACATACATACATACATGTGTGTGTGTGCGTGTGTGTGTGTGATTTAGATTTTTAACATAGCTTTACAATTTTTTCAGTCATTTCGCTACGTTGTCTGCTGTGTGACAGTTCATAGCGATGTCTAGCACTGGGGCATCATGCCACAGACATGACCCGCCCAGTCACATTATTCTGACACCAGACCAACCAGTTCTAATACTAACCTCTTAATGCTGAGCGCCATATACAATATTTTAAAGTCTTTGGTATGACTCGGACGGGATTCGAATCCACGACATCCCGCATCAGAGGCAGACGTTCCAACCACTAGGCCACCGGAGCGGTTTACACATACATACATACATACATACATACATACATACATACATACATACATACATACATACGTACGTACGTACGTACGTACGTACGTACGTACGTACGTACGTACGTACATACATACATACATACATACATACATACATACATACATACATACATACATACATACATACAGTTTTTGTACATTACAGTATAATTTTTAATAATAGTAGGATTCAACCATTTTTTTAAAGGGTTGTTCTTTGTTTTCAAAAGTAAATTTATTATACAATTTTATGTACAATGAAAATACATTTATCCATCACCCATTCAAGCATTTATTACACAATTGTAAGAAATTTATTCCAAAAAGAACACCTATTTTCTATGGTTAGAAGAAGAGAAGATAGAATGTTTTTACATCTGTGTTCACGAGCAACCATTTTCAAATACAGAATAATAGAATCCACAAATGTATAGACATCAATCATTTTAAGCCCACCCTCATCATAGTTTTTAATTACTTTTCTGTTGATTTTGTATTTTGCCACATTCAAAACAAGCTTGTAGTACACTATGGGGTGGATTTGGTAAATTCAACAAAAGGTAAGTAAGTTTGATAATGCCAAATGTTTAATAAGTATAACTTTACCAAAAGAAGTTAGTGATCTCTTTGACCACAGCAGAAGTAAATGTTTAATTTCCTGATCTTATTATCATAGTTTAATTTAACAATGTTTGTTGAAAATCTTATGTCAATGTAAATTCAGATGAATCCCAATCTAAATGGTATCCTGAGCAATATTTAATATTACTACATCTTCTATTTCCAATACAGACTGCTTTTGTTTTTGTTATATATATATATATATATATATATATATATATATATATATATATATATATATATATATATATATATATATATATATATTATTGTTACAAGCCAGGGGTCTTTTGCTTGACCGAGCGGTGTCAAAACCCTGGGCTCGAATCCCGCTATAAGTCATAAGTTTACCCCATATTTCCAAAGACTTTTATACAACTTCAGTTGTAAGTTGGAAAGACCGACGTGTCCATTCTATACATAAATTATACAATAATCAATACAAGACCACATTATTTACAACTTGCAAATTAGCCATCAACCGCACATCTCCACAGTTTCTATATATTAACTTTCCGTTCCGCTTGTAATTCACACCGTAGAAACTGTGCAACTATCCCTAATGCAGGGAACTATTTTAACTGCACACCTGAGGCCAGTCGAACTATCGTTTCAAGGCACATCACACCAGTAAACGTACATCACATGTTCCACTATGGCCACAAAAACGGTATCTAACGAGTCTTTTCTCATTTATCCCACTGTGTAATTTACTGGTTTACTACCATAAAATACTGCCGCTGCAGTTATAACACCGATATACAACCTTTGTTTTTATAAATGGCTATACAGGGACAGTCATGCGGATTGGGTCTGAGTTCGCTATACATTGGCTATGGCATCTCAGAAACTCACTAACACTTTCTCTCGGTGACGTTTGCTTCTAATTAATTAGAATTAGACTAATTATTTCGTGCTAAGGAATATTTCACACTGCACCGAATTCCAATAATCAAACATGTAATCACACAAACCTACAAATTCCTTGAACTAAATGCGCATCTCCTTAATTTTATTACTATATATATGCGCTGAGGTCGGAAAATTTAGTCTTGATAGATGATATCCAGTGCTGATTTCAGAGACCTTCAGAACCATAAAGAGTGAGTGTAGTATCATCTACATACTACCAGAAGATATTCTACTAGATTTATTTGTATTCTTTTATATTTTAGCTTTTTCCTGATCATGTGGGCTAACATCTCTGCACACAGAAGAAAATATGGGGAGGGGGGGAATCGCCTTGTCTGCAGCCCCGCCTAATGTCCAACTATTTTGAACACTGTCCTTTTAGAATGGAAGGAACAAAGTCTTTCTTTTATAAACAATAAAAACACACATAAATTAGCAATATGCGCAACAAGCCTTTTTCTTCATGTGGATTTATTCGAGAAATACACATGATCATAGATTCCTTTGTAGTAATCATAAATTAACTAACTTTCGACAAGGAATACACATGCATAATCATAAATTAACTAACTTTCGACAAGGAATACACATGCAAATAAATAGAAAAGCAATTGTTTCAGATGCAGAAGCAACGACACAAAAATTAAAACAATTATGTGCTAACGATTAAATTGTATGTATTTTAAATAATCCCATAGCATGAATTTATGCAGTGTTACAAAAGTATCGAACAAAAGTTTGAACAAGGTTTGACAGAAACCGAAAATAAATACGTTTTGAACTTTTATAATCATCTGTCCAACATTAATCAATATGACTTTCAGCAGAAAATGTTTATTTAATGATAACAAAGTGATTGTAATTGAACCTAGTGATATATTGAATAAATGGTAACAGTTTCTTATTGGTATTTTTCAAAAAGTTATTCTGTGTATAATAGATGAATGTGCGAATTTCGACCATGCAAAGAAAATTAATCTAATAAACTAGCATTTAGTGGTGGTGACATTTTAAAACGCCAGTTTGAGTGTAATTTGACAAAAACACAATGCAGGTTTTCGTGGCTTTCTTTTGTTGTTATCATTTACTGTTGAAGCAAAAAGGCTGCAAAATTATTTTAAAAAAGATCCATGTGATTAAACAATTCAAGAGTAACATTTGCATGGACCACAGGATAATTATCTACTAATTATCTCTTGTCGACAAGTGCAGGCAAAGCAGTCCTATTCACACCGTCTCAATGCATTAATTTTCTTGTTATTTATAATTAGACTAAACAGACAAATTATTGCTAAATCTAAAATAACACAGTTTTCATCACTATCGCAAAGCTTTAAATCGTCACTTAATATTTTGATTTTGTTTTTGGCATTTTGCCAGCAGAACATTGATACATCGTCTGACAATATATTTTAGCATTCAGGTAAAGAAAAAACGCATGACATTGCCATGTTGTGTTTTGTATTAGTTATCTTACTAATTCCTCCTCTTGCACCAGTCTCAGTTATTTTTATGTAAAAAAAATCAGTAATTAATTCTAATTCAACCCCCGTTCACATCAAAGAAACAACATCAGTCAATCCTGGTGCATAATAGTCATGTTCTGCATCTGGTTTATAAATTATAATTTTTACATGGAAATAAACTTATATCAACACAACAGTAAAGTATCCTTTGAATGTAATGGTCTTGGAGATTAGCAAGAGACTTTATCTGAACATGTTCTTGTACTGCTTTCATACACTGATAGTCATCATCTTCTATTTTTTCATCCATGAGACTTCAATGAAATTTCATATTTGTGGTAATTTGTTTTGTTTGAACCTAAAAAGGTCACCAATGTTCTTCCTTACATAATTGTTTCGAATTCTTTCAAATGTTTAATTGTCCTGGGAAACACTTTATCTATTTTATCTATTTTTTATTGCTTTATTTGTCCTTTTTCTAATATAACTAATATCACTAAATCTGCAGATATCTGATGATTTAATTGTGCTTGGGAATAAAAGATTTTCCATGCATTGAACTATACCAGCTGCAATCTTTTTACTGTATGAAATATGTTATTTGGTATTATTTGTACGTCTTTATCACTAATGCATCAATAATTAGACAGGAATCATAAACAATATAAATTGCGAATAAAAAGTGGAATGTATTTAGGGTGCTTATTATTCAAACCACATTCATTGTGTGCAGATCATCTATAACTACCATTTAAGGATCTGATTAATTAATTTGTTTCTTTGTCGTTAATTTCATCTTCACACATACATAATGCATTTGTAGAATTAAAATGTTTTGATCTGCTAACGTAAAAAGCATTTCACAGGCGATATATGGTCTGGTATATTTGTAGACCGATTGCTGTTTACAAGCTTTTACTAGTCTGCCAATACTTTCGAAATCCAAACAAGTTACGAAAGGAACGTTTAAACATTGATATTTGTACGACTATGTAACAGAGAGGAAATGAAAACAACAATTTCAACAAACAGTTTATTTCTCTAAGTTACAAAAAGTGACAACTGAAGAAATACAGTATTGTGAATTAAATCCCAAATGATTCTAAATGTTCCATCACAGTTTCAAAAGTATAGAATGTTCTGAGTGAATTCCTTGAATGTCTTGATTTATCACAATGGTATAATCACGAATGTCCTGGAATGAGTTATCAATAATCCCGAAGTAGTGTTTTAGTCCAATAGGTCAATGATTACTATTTAATTCCAATGGATAGTTAATAAATAATTATTCTTAAATTATATCTGAACACAACTACAAACTCTGATCATAGATTCCCAAAGATTGATATAAAACAAGAATGAACAATTGCTTACCAAAACTTGTCTTGTTCAAGCATGATATCGATTAAATAATTTACCCGACTGTATAAAGTACGTTGTTCGTTTAATTCTAGTTATTTGTAACAATATTTGAAGCATATTTTACAGAACTACTTTTCATATGTGTGTCTGTGTAACAGAGATGATATCACCTTATATAAATCATTATAATGATTACAATCTCTACCGTCAAATAATATTAACATGTCGAGATGGCAGTCTCTCTTTCTTTCTGTAATTATAGTCCGATTTATGATGTTTCATCACTTTGCTTATTGAATTCGTTTCTAAAATTATCGTTTTTTTTTTAAAAAAACGTTTGGGACATTTCTGAAACCAATATTTACACTTGTAAAGGTTAAATGATGATGGTCTCTATTTGCGATCTCTAGAATGCTATATAACTTATTCAATCGAAAAAAATGCTCATCATTATCATTATTTTTATTGTTAATATAGCTTTTTATGTTGGTTTCTTAAAATCAATACCATCTAAATCAGTTGCAGATTTATTAAACTACATGTAAGATATACTTTATTTAGCGGTCATTAAGAACATTAACCTTGACCGTAGCATAACATAATTTATACCCGGC